AGACCAACCAAAGGAGAGAAGCAGGGGCTTGCTTGTTCAGAGCTCGCTGTAGCAAGGGAGGCAGATCGTCACTGAGGTCTGGGTGGGTGGAAGCCCCAAGTCAGAAAGAGGAGTGGGAAAGCTTTCTGGTGGGCAAAGGGGAAGGTCCAGGTTTGCCCTGATGGAAGCTCTAGGCGGCCAGCTAGAAGTGGGCATCCTATGTGACTGGTTAGAGGTACATATTGGGCTTTCTCTGGTTGGTCCTAAGTTGGAAGCAGGGACAAAAATTAGGGATGCGCCTTGGCCAGTGTGGCTCAGGTGTTTAGAGTGTTGTCCCATGCAGCAAAAGGTTGTGGGTTCAGTCCCTGGTGAGGGTATGTACCTAGGTTGTGGGTTTGATCCCCAGTTGGGGTGTGGACAGAGGCAACCAATCGATGTTTCTCTCTCACATTGATTTTTCTCTCTTTCTCTCCCCCTTTCCTTTCTCTCTAAAAGAAGGAATGAAAAAAAATGTCCTCAGGTGAAGATAAAAAAAAATTTAGGGAAAAGACCCAACCCAGCCCTCCCCACACATCTGCCTCCTTTTGGGGGGTTTTGCAGGGAGTGGTGGTGGCTGGTTCGGACTTTTCAGGGCAGTTGTGGACATAATGTCATTCTTTCCTGGAGCCCCTGAGCACCAGGGTGTTATTTCAAAGCTGAGGCCAAAGGAACATTTTGGGCCAGAAGGAAAAAGTATTCCCCACTTTTTGATTTGAGACGAAGAAAAAGGCTCGAGGAACTGTCCTTGAGTGGAAATAATATGAATAGATGAAGAATTATTATATGGGTTTGGCTGCCATTAACTCTTGACATGCAAATATACGTCTGAAAAGGGATTTAAATTTGGAGATTGGGAGGTTCTTTCTGGCTGCACAATCCCGAATAAGTTACCGATCTTTCTGAGGTGTCATGAATCAGTGAAAGGCAATGACGGTAGCCCTCGCTGATTGCACAGATTTGCAGCCTCCTGAAGGTTCCCTGTGTACAAGAAGCATCCTGAGCCACGCCCTGCGGTAGCAATGTCTTCGTTGTGCAAATGTCTCCTTGGCCCAGCTGCCCGCTCTGCAGACCGCCTGTCAAATTCCACTAGGAAAGCAAGGGCGGATCTCATGTTGGCCCCTAACCTAGGGCATGTGCTGCTCCTAATTTTAACCGTGCAGGGCCTACGAAATAAGTTTTAACCCTCGGAGTGGTATCAAGACCCTCCAAATCTGGTCACGGCCTCAGTCTGTCCTTAGTCCTCTAAACAAACCATCTCTCCGCCCAAACTGATCTGTTCATTGCCCCCGGAGCATACCGGCTATGGCCCTACCTTGGCTTCCACGGTTTTCCGTTGCCTGGAATCTGTACCTCTCCTCCCCTCTCCCTACCTCACCCTTGACCCTACTTTGCTTTAGTTTTCATCCTTGAAAGATCAGTTCAAGTCTCACCTCCTCCAAGTAGCTTTCTCTCACTACCTCAGTGATCCCTCCATTTCTAAACCATCCTCCAAGAGCACACCCAACTTTCATACATGCTTGGTACATGAGTAAATGTAGACATGATGTTTTGTGTTATTATTCTCTAATTACATTGTATTCTGCATTTTCCACTGGACAGGAAGCTTCCGTATGGCAGTGACGGTATTTTACCGCCTTTAACCTCACTGTTGAGGACTGTGGTTTAAGTTTCAGTGCTTGATGAAGATGGTTTGAGTAAAATGATGAACAAGGTGCCCCATTGATTTGTGTGTTAAACATACTGGAAATCCAAAAAAAGTAGCCCTTGCTTGGTCTCAATAAATAGTTCCTTGAAAGCACTTCAGATGTGAAGGGAGGGAGGTTGGTGGTTTCGCCTTTGTTATAGCAGCAGCTGCAGTAATTCAGGGGGAAAAAGACAGCTTTTAGAATTGTATTGTAAAGGAAGAAGCACAGTGGTACTCACTCATGCTCAGTGTAGGGTTTCAAGTCTTAGAACACGATGGGCCAAGCCCAGCTCACTGCTATGGGGGAGGTTCGGTCGGATAAACTGGACAGGTGTGTGTGTTGTGGGGGGAGAAGGGGGGGCAGGCTGGCCTCCTCCTGGTGCAGGGCAGTCATGCTGAGCAGGAGGAACCCAGCTGGGATGCTACAGATGATAACTGGGATTCTGGGCAGAATAGTGGGTGGGAAGCAAGACTGCATAATGGTGAGTATAGCCCATAGGCTGGGCCCAAACCGGCAACACTGAGCCTAGGAGTGGGAGTTGTTGGGAGACCCAAGCAGAGAGGGAGCCCTCCACCCTTGTGGAACTTGCCAGCAGCGACCACCCTAAGCCTGGAGCTCAGAGGCTGGGTGTCAGGTCCTTACAGGGTCCCCGGCAGGATAAGGCAGGCCCTGTCCTAGAGAGCCCAGGGTTCTATTTATGGCTCCAGCATGGGAAATAAGATAAAGCTTCTGGGGCAGAGGCAGAACAATCTTGTTCTCCAGGCCCAAGGTAAGTGTCGGCCTCTGAGGATGTAAGTGAGGAGGACTCCGTAGACACAGGGACAAAGGTTGTGGAGGTTGGTGATGTTGCACATCTGTCATGCGAGGAACCAAGGACCAGAGAAGTGTGACTATTTCAATGTCCATTCATATTCCTTGTGAGCAGTAGATCTAAGCTTAGAGCCGGTTCATGTGATGCCCCAGGTCCAAGGGTAGGTTGCTCGTGCCAACTTACCAGGGTTTTCATAGTCTTCATGGGAGCCCCCCGTTTCTGTGGTGGTGTCCTGAGGACAGGTGCAGGGGTGTGCTCTGGGAGGGAGTGATTGAAAAGGGGCATTCATTGTGGACAGATGTGCATTTTTCTGTTTATTGTTGAGGGATCCTCATGTAAGATTTTGATTGAAAAATCCACAGCTAAGCCTTGGCTGGCGTAGCTCAGTGGATTGAGTGCAGTCTGTGAACCAAAGCATCGCAGGTTCGGTTCCCAGTCAGGGCACATGCCTGGGTTGCAGGCCACAGCCCCAGCAACTGCACATTGATGTTTCTCTCTCTCTCTCTTTCTCCCTCCTTTCCCTCTCTAAAAATAAATAAATAAAATATATATAAAAAAAGAAAAATCCACAGCTAAAAGAAGCTTGAGAGTGAGTATGCCAATGGCAGTTACAATTTCTATCCTTCTCTGGAGAGCTGGGAGGCAGAGAAAATAGATGCCTGGAGTTCAACAGCATGACAAAGGCAAAAAAAAAATCTATCAGGACAGGGAAAATTCTCCACAGAGGATGACAACACAATATGCAGAAAAAAAATTATGCCTTCAGCAAGGGATTTTGTAAGAAGTATGACATTTTAGATTCTCAGGAAGTTGCAGTAGTTGTGTCTCCATTGTGATATGACCTTTAGGAAATCGATAAAATGTATTGTACCTCTTCAGGGTCTATTTTATATAGTTTGGACTCTAGGGGCCAGAATAAAGGAATAGAAACCCACTTAAGCTTGCTCAAATAATAGAGGGGTGTGTTATGTTTTTAGGGTGCAAAGACAGAAAACGCAGAGCTTATCGGTGGAATCAGAAGCTCAGGAGCCAAGGCTGGTCTCTTTGTCTTGCGAGGGCTTTTGTGGCCTCTCAGGAGCTCCATGGTCACCCTTGTCCCTGCTTCTCTCCTACCTCTCCCTGTCTCTTCTACTCATCGGTACTCCAAAATGACTGGTAGGCCACTTATACATCATCACACCTGGACTCCATTCTCTATGTGAAAACCCTGGGGTTGAATTTTAGGAGACAGACATTTTAACTCAGCACAGACTACAGAATGATTTTTGCACGAGTCAGATCTCTCACCCAGGTCCAATCAACTTGGATGGAGGAGGAGGTGATATCATGTGGGTCATGCAGGAGCAGGCAGCAAGGCTACGGTGGGCTCCTGACCTTGGATGGGGTGCAGGTGGGGGGGCAACAGTTGGTTTGTCTACAAGAGACTTCCAGACAGACAACAAAGAGACTGTGATTTGGGGGTTCCCTAGGCTGCCACATCATGTACCCTTTGTTGCTGTGCATGGCTGAGATTTTTGACGCTCTATACACACCTTACCATTTTAGTGGTCACAGTCCCTCAGCAATCCTGAGATACCAGCCTCTTCCTAGACATTCAGTCTTCCAGCTTCTTAACACAAGAAGCAATACTCCTGCAAATGGGGTTGGCCGGTCAAATGACATTGGCCAAAGAAGGCCTCCGAGAATCCATTCATTTGGCCTTGCATTTGACATAAACTTCCTTGTATAGTGGTTGAGAGACAGGCTCTGGAGTTGTTCTCCACATTCAAATCCTGGCCCCACTAGGCAATAATCACCCAGCCTGGAGCAAGTTACTTGGCCTCTCCAAAGTCTCCCTTTCCTTGTTTGTGAAAAGTACATAATAGAACCATGTGGTGGAAAAGAAATCCTCGGGGGTTAGTGAGGAATATGCTCTAAGAACAGTTTTGATCCCTAGAAAGTACTCAGTGAGTATCTCCCATGATTGTCATCATGTTTGTTAATCACCCTTTCATGTCTTATGAACCCAAATGAATTCAAGTCTCCACGCCAATGACATCTCCGCCTTCCTGACAGCTCTGGCCCTGACTTCTTTCCTAGACCTTTGCGAGCACTAAGTGTTAACAAGGGCTTGGTGCTTAACCAGTTGAGTTTTACAATGTTGTACTTTGTGCTCTGAATTTAAAAAGTTCTCGCCACCAAAGATGGAAGAGGATGTGCAAGGGGTACAATCTTGACCTGATTTTGTGCTATTTGATGTGTATGGAAAGTATGTCTTTTAAATCCTCCTTTTAGGCGATTTAAGTGTGTGCCTCTCCCCTGAAATAAAGAGTAGACATCAGATGACTTCTCCAGTTTCTTTGATCTGTGTCAGTATGATCTAAAATCATCATCTTCCATGCTGACAAACATGCGATCTGTTCTTTGAGACTGTGCACAAATCAGAGAGCAGGAAAACCACACGAGAAACCTTGAGCCAGATTCATTCTTGTTCTTCTCCCCTGCAGGAACCAAGTTGCCCTGAAGATCATGAACTTGTCTTCTGAGCACTGCAACATCTCCGATTGGCTGAGGCTTGAAGCAACAGTGAAGGCCTCTGTGTACGTGCTCACTCTCCCTTTTGTCACATTCATCACAATCATCATCATCACAATAGTGTCGCAGAATTCCAAACTGAGGAAAGAGGTCCGATACATCCTCCTTTGCCACCACCTCATGTGCATCTCCTCCTACTGTGGCCTGGGGGTGGTCTTCCAAGGGATGCGGGCCCTGCTGGCCAACAGTCCTGTGGTGCTGTGCTGGGTGGTGTTTGGGGTCCAGCTAAGTTTTGGAGAAGGTATCCTCTTCACTCTGGCCTTGATGGCTGTCAACACTTACCTGGCCATTTGCTGGCCATTGACATCTGTGTCCGTTGTAGAGTCAGTTAAATATAAGATTCTGGCTGGGACTTGGATAATCATTGTATTCAAGAATGTTTGCTTATTCATCATAGAGGGCACCAAGTCCACTTCGGTTGCTGTTTTAAGATCTGAACCCCTCTGCCCTGTGACTTTGAACAGTATTCCTTCCAGAGCCATTGCCATGGTTTTCCTTCTCTTTCTTCTATCTATTATTCTTATAAGTTACTTTCTAATATATCAAGAAGGCAGACGTGCTGGCCATTTTAATAGGTCGAACATCAAAGCAAGGAAAACAGTCCTTATTCATTTATTGCAGATAAGCTTACATGTAATACCAACCTTGATGTTCATAGGTTTGGGAAAGAATTGTGGAAAGTTTTTCTCTGCTTTAAATCTGGTGCTTTTTGGAGTCTTTGCCTTTGCCCAGTGTTTTAACCCTCTGATCTATGGGCTGTGGAATAGGGAGCTTCGAAGCAGATTATATTATTGGATGTGCTGTCAGTTTTGGTGTGGTCACACAATGAATGACAGAGGGCCAGTTTAAACAAAAACTCAGCCTTTCTTCTTTGATTTTTAGTCCTCAGGATATATTTATTGATTTTAGAGAGGAAGGAGAGGAAGGGAGAAAGAGAGAGAAACATCAATGTAAGAGAAACATTGATATAAGAGACACATCGATTGATTGCCTCCTACATGTGCCCCGACCAGGGATTGAACCCGCAACCTAGGTATGTACCCTGACTGGGAATTGAACCCAGAACCTTTTGGGGTATAGGACAAGGCTCCAACCAACTGAGCCACCTGGTCAGGGCAAAACTCAGCCATTTTGAATCAATAAGTCTAGTCCAAATGGACCATCAGCTAGGGCTAAGAACTTGACTTTTACTCAACCTAAAATTGGTATGTTGACTTGATTTTTAAAACAATTTTAGAAAGTTAAAGTTATTTATCTGGGTAGCACATTTTGCTGTTGCATATACTTATAAGTCCTCAGTGAAATTATTTTATGTCTTTAATTCTAAACCCAGATCAATATTTTTGGCAGTATGCCTTACTGTGTTTCAACAGTTGGGCAGCTTTTGAGAATACTCCTATTTTTAGAAACTGAGAAATAGTCCCTGGTTGATGTGAAGGGAAGAAGTTTGGCTGTTCCCCTTATGTTAATTAGGGGTAGGTTTAGGTACATATCATAACAAAGTAGAAATAAAATAGCAATAACTTTAAAAAGTTAGAGATTGGTTTATTTTATGCAAAAGAAATCAGGAAGTACACAACCCAGACCGATGTGGCACCTCTGTAGGCAAGAGGCTCATTCTCTTTTCCTGGCCATAATTTGTACACTACCTCATGACACAAGATGGCTGTTAGTGTTCCTGTCATCACACTCACACTCCAACCAACAGGAAGGAGTAACAGGCAAAGAAGGGTCTGTACTCTGCTTCTGTAGACACTTGCTAGAAGTTACACAAAAACATTTTTTCTTACATCTAACTGGCCAAAATTTAATCATATGACTATGCTTGGCTTTAAGGGAAAGTGAGAATAAATTTTAGCTCAGTAGTAGTTTCCCCAGTTGAAAATTAGGGTTTTTAATATTAAGAAAGGAAAGAAGGAGGCAAAATCATCTCAGGGGTCATTTTCTCAGTAAAATAAAGTATGAAGAAGTACAATGGATGCATTATGATTGTTGCATAGAAATATATTCTGCCTTTCAACATAATACACAAATGCACTATTTACTATTCAGGATCCCAGAAAACCTTAACTGTGTCATGTCAACAGTGCTCGGAGAGAACGGCATCAATAAGGAGAACACCAAACTGGTTTAAACATGAGAATCGTTATTTAAATCATTATTTAAATCCAAGGACGTTTGAGGCAACAGTATGAAATACATTCTTTTGCAGAAGTTTATATATGAGATGTCTTTACATGAACAATCCATTCGTGAACCAGTCAGGATTCATTTCTAAAAACAGGAATTCCTGCCCTAGATATTTTAAACAGGAAGGAGTCGATACAGGAATTAGATGCTTACAAAGCCATGGGACGGGCTGGAAGAGTGGATATCAGGGCCGCCACCACTGCTTGATGTCGGGAGTCAGCCACTGTGATTGACCGGAGGTCAAGCAGCTGTGATTGTAGGTGAAGCAGCTGCTTCCACCAGGGATCCCCTGGAAACAGCAATAGGAAGATGGTCTATCTCCCAATTTTACATGATTGCCTCTGCTTGGGGGAACATACTTGGCACTCAGACCCTGAGAGACAAGTGGCCTGGGAAACGTAGTTCTTAGTTTCAAAGACTTGGCAGTACAGGAAGTTACCCCAAAAGCAGTGTGACAAGTGGGTTGAATGAGCCAATCCATGAGATCCAATGCAGGTATTACTATTCCTGATTTATAGATGGGAAAAGCTGAGGCCTAGAAAGGCCTTGCAGGAGCTTAGGAGGTCAGGACCTTCCCTTTAAGATTTAGCCCTGGCTGGCGTAGCTCAGTGGATTGAGCGCGGGCTGCGAACCAAAGTGTTGCAGGTTCGATTCCCAGTCAGGGTACATGCCTGGGTTGCAGGCCATGACCCCCAGCAACCACACATTGATGTTTCTCTCTCTCTCTCTTTCTCCCTCCCTTCCCTCTCTAAAAAAAATAAATAAAATATTAAAAAAAAAGAATATGTATACAATTCTTCAGCATCATTTTCTTAAAAAAAAAAAAGATTTGCCAAATACTCGGCTTGGCCCAGGGTGATCTATTCATCATCACTGAGAGCTGGACCAATTGCTCGGGACCAATTGCTGGGCCTTGGTTCTTCACTTTGCTTTGGGTGCGGACACCTGGCTTGTGGAAAAGAGCCTTTTCCTATCCTTTGCCTTGACTACCTTCTCCCATCCTTAGGCCTCCATTGCTTTTTATTTATTTATTTATTTGGTTAAAAAAGTTATTTTATTTTTATTAAGTTAATTGGGGTGACATTGGTTAATAAAATTATACAGGTTTCAAGTGTACAATTCTATAATACATCATCTGTATATTACATTAATTGTTCATCACCCAAAGTCAAGTCTCCCTCCGTCACCATTTATCCTGCCTGTATTCTCTTCAAGCTCCCCTCTCCTCCTTTCCTTCTGCTAATCACCATGCTATTGTCTGTGTCTGTGAGTTTTGGGGATATTTTTTTCTTCATCCCTTCATCTTTTTTACCCAGCCTCTTAACCCCCTTCTCCTCTGACAGCTGTCAGTCTGTTCTCTGTATCTATGAGTCTGTTTCTATTTTGTTTGTTAGTTTATTTTGTTCATTAGATCCCACTTATGTGTGAAATCAAATGGTGTTTGTCTTTCTCTGACTGGCTTATTTCACTTAGCATAATACTCTCCAGGTCCATTCACGTTGTTGCAAAAGGTAAGATTTCCTTCTTTTTCATGGCTGAATAGTATTCCATTGTATAAATGTACCACAGCTTTTTTATCCACTCATCTGCTGGTGGGCACTTGGGTTGTTTCCAGATCTTGGCTATTATAAATAATGCTGCAATGAACATAGGGGGGCAAGGCCCCTACTATTTTTAGATTCGAGTGGCTTCCATGTCATGTCTGGATTCTATTTTGGCTTCAAGTCCTGCTCATCTCCTCCCTGGATGTTCTGTCCAAGGCTTCCCTCTTCCTTCAACCCCATCTCTGAGAATTCAAAGCACCACCTCCTTTTTTCCAATTTGCAAGCCTCACTCCAGGGTGGGCACCAGGGCTCCTTGCCTTTGTCTTCTGGTACCCAACACAGTACCTGGCAGATGGCAGGCACTTGACACAAGTTGGAGAGGACTCACTGATCAGTAAGACATGCCTTTCTACACACTCCCTCCCCATAAAACTCAAACTGCCTCTTTGTTTTTGGTGAACTTTTAAGCAATCTGAGAGAGTGGAGAGAGTGGAAGAAAACCTCAAAAAAATTACCAAGCTTAATTTAGTTCTAAGTCCTAGATCTAACACACACAATTAAATTTATCCTTAAAAACTTTAAAGCTCTATTTTCTGACATCAAAAGTTACTTGTACTTGTGACATTAATTGAGTGTTAAAGCGGCAGCTTTTATTTTTGGATTTGAAGGCCGTAGAGGAAGAGGCGGTAGGCCGGATTTGCTCTGTGAGCCACCGTTTGCCCAGCCCCGGTCCGTGTCATTGTCTTTGAGCAGCGCATCTCACAAATTCAGGTGCCAGGAATATTCGTCAGGACAGACAGGGTTACGCCACAATAACCAAATCTCGCTGGCGCCCCTTCTCCAGAAGCCTTTGGCTTAGATCAAGTGGAGTGTCAGTTCCTATCAGATTCCTATGTGATATGTCTCCTGCCTGAGGACAATATATTAAGTGGATTTTTGGATCAGGAAGATGGAATAGGACCTTGTTCCATCCACTCTGCTTATCAACCCTGTACTGCAGTACCTGCAAGAGTGGTGCAAAAAAAACCAAACCAACAACAAAACTAAGTGGCTTAAAACAACAAAGGTTTATTTCTCACGCATGCAAGGTCCTCTGGAGGTCAGGGCTGCTCTCCAGGGCAGCTGCCCCTGTGCGGTGACTCACCTTTTCTCCTCCACATGGGCACATGGCCCCCTCAATGTAGGCAAAGGACGAGAACGTGGAAAATCACACACCGGCTCTTGAAGGATTTCAGATTTCTGCGTCCATAAAGATTGTTTTGGACGCACCCGTGCCCATTCATTTCAGTGTTATCTACAGCTGCTTCTGCATCACAGAAGAGTTGAGTGGGTGCATGGCCTGCAAAGCCTGAATTATTTACTATCGGGCCCTTGGCAGGAAAATTTGCCTTAGTGCAATATACAGGTAATGTACTAAAGAATTGTATAGTTTTATTAACCAATGTCACCCTAGTACATTCAACTTAAAAAGATGCTAATGCATTAAAGAAACATTTGCCAATCTTGGCCTACAAGAGAATTGTATCATAAAACATGAAATTTGATGACTTTGATTTAAAATGTGTTTCAGAAAATTAGTCTCTGAATAAATTTAAGGAACGCCCTCTTGATTAATTTTCTGTACATTTATATTTTTATGGGTGATATAGGATAAAAAATCTGTCTAAATAAGTTTAAAAGCTCTTTGAATAAGTACACAGTGCAACTCCCAGGAAATAAGAAAGCATTGTGCTGTAGTTACATTTGCAGGTTTTTTCCTTCTTCACAATCTATGATCTCTTACACTCAATAAAATATGGTAGTGTATGAGGGCTGTCCAGAAAGTATCCAGCTATATAATATGAAGAATAGAGACATGTATTGAAGAAGATACAAGATACATTGTACAGAGGACAATGATGCCTCACATACCTTCAAAGTAGGTGCCATGGGAGCTCACACAGTTCTCCCAGTCACCATCAGCTGCCCCGTTGTATTTTCCTGAATCTCATCTGTGGTCTGAAATCCCTTCCCTTTCAAAAGTGACTTTAGTTTTGGGAAAAACTAAATGCAGGATGTCTCAGGGTGCCAAGTCTGGGCTGTGCTAGGGCTGAGTCACCTGAGTGATTTGATGTTTTGTCAAAAAAAAAAAAACCTCTGCAAAAGATATTATGTATGAGTGGGCACATTGTTGTGATGAAGCTGCCAATCACCAGTTGTCCATAGCTGCAGCCTTCTGAATCATCTGAGTAG